ACCACTTGTTGCTTAAGGAAAAGGGGTTGAAACAATCGAGATCACTGGAAGGGTTGCCAAAATCAGGATTGAAAAGCTAACTAAACATATGCAAATTGCAACAGCTGTAAGAAGCTAAGACGGATCGAAAGTGTATGGACATATGTGATCTTTATTAAAAACTATTTCTGTGGAGTTAATTAAAAGGCGCTTCTTATAACTACTACGAGGAACACGCTTCCCCATTTCTTATAGTCTATTCCATTTCAGCCCTAATTGCTTCCACCACTCTCCTAGACTAAATGCAAAAGGTGGTATTTTACTCGCCTATTCAATTAGGGGAACCATGGACAACCAGCGATTGTCCTGCAAATATATTCCATTAACTTTACTAAGAAGTCCTTTCACTGAGAAAGAGATTGTCTTGAAAATGTAACAGCTGAAGAGCAGAGTCATGTCTTGGATACATAAATAGTTTTATTTTTTTACTATTATAAACAAGATGCTTCTTACTAAGACCGAGATCTTGAAGAAGGTAGACACAAAGGGCTTAAAAGGAGGCGCCAACTCCTCTTAATGTTCTTCCCTCGCTCATATTGCACCAGAATTTTGTAACGCGCCATTTAGGAGGTCAACTCTGCCGAATATACTGGCAAGGCAGTAAACAAACTTCTTTCTTGACGAGATTGTGGAGAAAAAGCATGCCCATCAGGCCCGCAGAAGCAGTCGTCGAAAAACTTTGATGGAATGACCATCAAAAATGCAAAGTGACACGTGGAGCGATCAACGGGGAGCGTTGAAGCCGGAGTGATGAGGATACTAATAAACGATGAGTGATCAGTGATAAGTAACGAGTGTGTTGAGACACGAGGGGTTGCAAAGAATTGACTCATTTGGACCATCTCTGAGGTAGCGGTTGTTCTGTGGTGGGTGATTCAGCCGTTGGATTCTGAAGTTGGCACACAGATTAGCATCGCTTCTTTGACCAAAGGCGAGTATAGGCACGTGATCCAGAAGGCTTCTTCAAATACCTATCATGGATGCCAATCCTCAGAATCTTTAACAAAAAAACAGAATAGCAAAACCTTCGCTTCCCACAGACGTGATAAAGGCTAAGTAATTTGTCAGTTAGCAGTAAAGCATGGACAGACCTGCCGTTCCAAAGGATCCATTCAATGAAAATTTAATACCTTTGTCTGAATGATACAATCACGTATTTCACATATGTAGTGCTTCCTCTCTGAGGGGTCCATTTGACGAGTTAAAATTCGTATTTAAATATGGAGCGCATTTAGATTTCGCGACGCACACAAAACATTGCCGTTGACGGACTAGGCACTAACATCTACTTTTACTTTAGGTACATCAATAAGGTGGAAAACACCAATTTTGTTATGGTAGCTTGAATGTAATAAAGTAAGTTACTTTAGAAACCAGTTTTGATATCTTTCTGATCTTTACACTAATACTTGCACTCTCATTGAGAGCACAGTTTTATGCTACAACATTATACAGTCGCTAGACTTGTCTCGGCTGTACTGATCATATTAAATACATATCAGCATGAGAAGCAAACGAAATTTTACTACCAACTACTAACTATTATCAACCACAAGTATTTAGCAGTTATCATATACATTTACCAGCTGCTTATAGTGCTCGGTGAAATGAGACAAGGAGAGGATAAAAGTTAATCAGGCGTCAGGAGAAATCGGCACAGGCATGT